TCACCATGCAAGGATATTCTAAAACTAAAGCCAGAAAATAATAATATTAAAAAAAAAAAATGAAAACCTATCAGCTTTGTTATACCTGAAGCAGAATAGATGTATATATGTGTAATATTCCAGCAACTACTGTGAGGTAGGTGCTAAGGCCACTCACTAGAAAGAAAATAGAGAAATCTTTGACCTTTCAAAGGTAAAGAACTAGACCTTACCCAGGAAGAAGAAGTACAGCCCGCCTTTTGCTTTTAAGATAAATTAATTCTTCAAGGTAAGACTGCCAATCATTTCCTTACCATCTAATGTGAAGAGACTTCACTCTTGCTCCTCCAAGAGAATCGGGTTCAACAAAGAATTTTATCAATCACTTTCTTAGAACTTCTCAACTAGAGATCCCAAGTTCCTTGAGAATTGAGACCATTCATTTACTGTTTGTTGCATAAAATGAATAAATGAAGGAATAGTAAATCAAAAAATAATAGAACTTTATACCTTAGCTGGGTCAACTCTGGGAGAGAGAGGAAAAGAGTGTGAAAGGAAAAATATGCCATCATTTATCTTATTTTCAACCTATTTTTAAAGTCAGTTTTCCAGATAATTTTGCTCATGGTTAACTGCTCTCCACAGTAATAGAAAATATGGAAAGGCCTCACCCAAACATATTTTTTGAATTCCTGAAAGCACATCACAGACAGATCATTGGGGGGGAAAAAAAGAGAGAGAGAGAGAAAACTTTGGTTAAACTATAAAGAGAGAGAGTTATCAGATTTATGTTAGCTTTTGCAAGCTTTTCCATATTTATTTGGTTTCTCTCTTCAAAGATAAAAAGAAGTATTAAAGGGAGCTCTGGTGGCATAGTTCCTCAGTCATTTGACCCCTAGCCAGAAAGCTGGTGGTTCAAACCCACCAGCCACTCCTCAGAAGGAAGACTGGGCAATCTACTTTCACAGACTTGGAAACCCAAGGAGGGGTTGCTGTGAGTCAGAATAGACTCAACAGCAATGAATTTGGTTTGATTATCCAAAAAGAAAGAGGAGAAGGAGAGGGGGAAAATGAAAGTTATCACAAACCACATACATCCCTTAGAAGTACTTGGCCAACTCTGAAGTACATTACCCATGTCTCAGGAAAATTTAACTTCTTAATGCACAATTTATTTTAAAAATGTCATCTCTTCAAGAAGAGAAGGCGAATTGTGGATACTTACATAAAAGTTACAAATACCTCCAGCAATTTAGCTGGGATCTGTGTTTGGTTTGCATTGGAACAGCCTAAACTATTTTGCCACAAAACATAACTGCATTCAAAATTTGAAGTGTTTTCACAGCGATTATTATACTGCTATTAATTATATTATTTCTCCCTGAGTTCAGGTCCATGATTTGTGCATTCAAATAAAAGCCAGACGAAGGGAATATCGCTCAACCATAAGAGAAATGAAATTCTAATGCCTGCCACAACATGGATAAACCTTGGAAACATTGTACTGAGTAAAATACGTCACAAAAGGACAGATACTGTATGATCCCACTTATATGAAATAGGCATATGTATAGAGACATCTATATATATAGATCTGGTGGATACGGGGGGGCGGGGGAGAAGGAAAGGGGGTGTCACTCCTTAGTGGGCACTGAGCTTCTCCTCTCGGTGTGGAATAATTTGGAAAAGGATAGCGATGATGGTTGCATACCATGATGAATATAATCAATGTCACTGAGTTGTGCACGTAAAAAAGTTGTTGCGCTGACAAATGTTTTGTTGTATATGTTTTTACCACAATAAAAAGAAAAAGTTTGCTAGATGGAGAATTTGAAGGTGTTCAAAGAGGGCAATGAGCACTTACACGGGGCAGGGCAGGGAGGAGGCTGGGGAAAGAAGTGCTAAGGAAAGTGCCTCTCTATGTTATGTATTCTCTATGAACAATCAAAAGATATTTCTTATGGAAAGAATTTCGGAATTGTAAAAGTCATCCAAAGTAGCAATCATAAGGATGTTGGAGTGTGGAAACTTGAGAATGGAAGAATGCTAATGACTGGAGGTGATGGACCAGAACAAGAAGAGGCACAGCGGACAATGCCTTCAGTGTACATATTTCTGACTGATTTCCATTTCTAGACGATTCTGTCTGCACCAATAGGAACAAAAACAACAGATTCACCCCAGTGCAGTCTATACATGCTTCATTAACCAGACCACAACACCCTGTCGAAAGTTGGGGCAATGAGAGAGATTTGTTTCTTTTGCTTCTGGCATAATTTATAAACCTTCTGAGGAGAATGTAAATAGATGTAGCTCAAGACTACACTGTTCTCTGACTAACCTTTGTTTCAGGGACATCAAGAGGCACTCTGTAAATGGCACGATCTTACTTGGATATGACATCATGCTGGTGCTATGGGCTTTCACCCCAACACTGAGATTGACCCCAAATGGGTCTTTTCCTTATTAATTTAGTTAAAGATTTTACCACATTACATCTTTTCGTAAAAAGATTTTACCACACTTACATTTGTTCCGTTATACGTTATACTCTACACCAGCCATGCTGAGGCTCAGCCAGTTCCCTGACCAGCCAGGCTTTGACTAGGGCCATTCTCTGATTCTCTGACTGATCTGGGTGTCCCATCTTTTCTGTGAATCAGCTTGGACACAAGGCCCTTATCAGATCAGGAACCTTTCCTGGGCATCTTTTAATATGTGCCATGCACACTGTCACACACTCATATTATCTCATTGGTTGTTTCTCTCTTGCACTAGAATGTAAACTCCTTGGTAGCAGGGATCCCAGGCAGGATATCCCAGCAGTTAAAGAACACAGATCTTGGAGTGTAGGCTCCAACACTTACTACTGTGTGACCTCGGGCAAGTTCCTTAACATCTTTATGCCTCAATTTTTCATCTGTGACGACAACATCACTTACATCATTGAGTTGTTATGAGAATTAAGTGGATTAATATTTCAACAGCACCTGAAAGACTAAGATTTTGAAGTTTGTTGAACAATAAGTTTGTTGTTGAAGTTTGTTGAGGTTGTTGTTATTTTCTTCGTTATCATCATCAATTGTCTTTGCATCCCCAGTGCCCACCCAGCACAGTACATAGCATATAGTAGATACTCAACAAACTAGTTCTTTGGGTGGCATAAACAGGTCAGCACTTGACTACTAGCCAAAAGCGTGGCAGATTAAACCCATCCAGAGATGCCTCAGAAGACAGGGCTGGCAACGGTGTCTAAAAAGTCTCAGCCTTGCAAATCCTAGGGATCAGTCTACTCTGCACACAGGGGTCACTATGAGTCAGAATCTACTTGACAGCAAACAGCGGTAACAATGTTGTTGTTGTTATGCACCTTCGAGTTGGACCTGACTCATAGTGACCCCTCCTTGGGTTACCAAGGCGGTATCACTATGGAAGTAGATTGCCCAACCTTCCTTCCGAGGAGTGGCTGGTGGGTTTGAACTGCCAGCCTTCTGGTTAACAGTCAAGTGCCTTAGGCACTATGCTACCAGATATTTGAGAGGTGAATGAACAAAAAGACTCATAAAGTAAACAGTCTCAGTGCAACTACAATTAAATTGCATCTTTCAAGAATATAAACAACCAAAAACTTACAATAACCATATATTTCTCAATTATCTAAGGACAAGGAAAGCTTAAAATAAAAATTTTAGGAGAGTCCAAATAATCAAAGATTCTTATTCATTCTGAATAATCAAACATTAAATTATTTTCAGTACTGTCTTAGACCTCGGGAGGAAGGTTGGGCAATCTACTTCCGTGATGATAATGTCTTGGAAACCCAAGGAGGGGTCGCTATGGATTGAGTCCGACTCCACAGCAAATAACAACAACATAACCCTGTCTTAGTTATCTAGTGATGCTGTAACAGAAATATCACAAGTGGGAGGCTTTTACAAACAGAGATTTAGGAGGCTTGAAGTTCAAATCCAGGGTGCCAGCTCTAGGGGAAGTCTTCTCTCTGTGTTGGCTCTGGGGGAAGGTCCTTGACTCCCTGAGTTTCAGCTTCTGGGAGATCTTGTGGCTTGGCATTTTTCTTCCCCCATCTCTACTCTGCTTATTTGCTTAATCTTTTTTATATCTCAAGAGAGATTGACTCAAAATACACCCTTCCCTAATCCTGACTCATTAACATAACAAGACAACCCATCCCCAAATGGGATTATAACTGCAGGCATAGAGGTGAGGATTTATGACACCTATTGGGAGGGGGGGGGTCTAATTCAATCTATAACAGGTAGCATTTCCCTAGAATATATCACATTGCATTATAAATTCATCAAAAAACTTGCTATTCCCCCATGGCACAAATAGCAATTCTTAAGTAAGCAGAATATTTAAATTATCTGAATGCCCCAGGCCTCAACACGTCTGAATAAATGATCATTTTAATCTATTATAAGGCAATTAAAAAACAGCATTATCCTAGGCATCTCCACAAGGGTTCCATAGCTTTCTGACCATGTTCTTATTTATGTTTTATTTTTCCCTGTTTTATAAGTCCACAAATGTTTTAATACATGTTAACAATGAAGAAGTTAAAATAGCCTCAAATTCCCCTTTGGGAAGCAGATGATGGGAAATCAATGGGAGGCCATGGGGTGACAGAAATCAGAGTAGCCATGCCAGCCTCACAAGTGACTTTCAATCAGTAGGATCACTGCTAGCTAATTGCCTTCTTTTCAGCACTGAATGTAGGCCAACCGCTTGTTACCCAACATTTGGACAGATATTTGTCATTCCTGTTGATTTCTGCACATGGCTGCTCATCCATTTGAGTCACACCACAAATCCAGAAAGGCATGACCCATTTTCAGAAGTGCAAAAAGTTAGGTCAGCACCCACATCAGAGGTGCCAAATCCTCTGTATTAAATATTTATGGGGTATCTGCAAGTAGAAATACTCAGACAAACAAATCAATATTTTCCATGACCTTGAACCAGTTTGCTTGGGAAGGATATATTCATTCACAGCTTCATACCTTTAATTCTCCAATGGAGGAGAGTAGTCCTGCTCCATATGCCCGCAGCTGCCCTTCTTGTTTGCAAAGACCAAACTCAATCGTGAAGAAATAGCACTGAAAATAAAATACATGTACATACATGCAGTGAAGTGGTCAACAAACTCTTCAGTAGAATAAAATGACACTCATAATAAAATGATACACTAAGGCATAATTTCAACTTTGTCTGCTAATTTAAATACATGTGAATTAAGAACATTTATTGAAATCTATTCTCTTGCTTGGAGAAGGATACCGTGTTTGGTAAAGTAAAGGGTCAGCGAAAAAGGGGAAGAGCCTCAGCCAGATGGACTGATACAGTGGCTGCGACAATGGGCTCAGGCCTGGCCAGATCATGAGGGCAGCAAAGGATCGGGCAGCATTTTGTTCTGTTGTACACAGGGTCACTATGAGCTGGAATCAACTCCACGGCACCTAACAGCAATAACAATATTCTCTTGGTTAAGGCATCTGACTCCTAACCAGGGGGCTGGCGGTTTGAACCCACCAGCCACTCCTCGGAAAGACGACTGGGCAATCTACTTCCATAGAGACACCACCTCAGAAACCCAAGGAGGGGTCACTATGAATTGGAACTGACTCAACAGCAGTGAGAGCTAGTTTAAAGATATGGGGAAATGCTATTAACTACTAAGGTTATTTCAAAAATAAAAAGACACATATTTAGAAATAAATGAATATGTCATAATGATAGTGCTATAAGGATTTGTTGTTGCTATGTGCCGTCGAGTCGGACCCAACTCATAGCAACCCCTCCTTGGGTTTCCGAGGAAGTATCACTACGGAATTAGATTGCCCCATCTTCCTTCCGAGGAGTGGCTGGTGGGTTTGAACCATCAGCCTTCTGGTTAGCAGTCAAGTGCCTTAGCCACTATGCTACCATATGCCACTATATTTACAAAGCTGGGTTTTAGTAGTATAAATTAGCATGTCATTGTAGAAAAAAAATAAATAACTTACAACTGAATAATTCTAAATTGATTATTAACAGTTTTTCATTCTATCAATAAACATTTTTGAGAACCCACTAGGTGCTAAAGCTTGGCAGTTGGTGTGCATGCTAAAGAGACAAGAGAGAGACCAAAAAACGAAGTATATGCCTACCAAATTATTGAAACCATAATTCTAGTATAATTTTATGAACCCTTAAGTGTCTAGGAATTCTGGTGGCATAGTGTGTAAGGCATTTGACTGCTAACCAGAAGGCTGGCAGTTCAAACCCATCAGCCACTCCTCAGAAGGAAGGTTGGGCAATCTACTTCCGAAGTGGCACCACCTCGGAAACCCAAGGAAGGGTCGCTGTAAGTTGGATCTGACTCCATGGCAGTGGTTGCATTGCTTACATGTCTAGTCATAGCTGTGTATGTAATTTTTTTTTTTAAATAACAACTTCATTGGCCTGAGTTTCACAATTGTCAACTACTACAGCTTCCATGGGATATTAAAATTTCTCAACTAGTTCTGTTGGGTTTAGGAAACCAACCTAGATAGACAGAGAAATCTCTGCAGAACCAAAAAGCTCACAATGCTGTTGAGAGGGGCTGAAATTACACCATTTTTGCTCTGAGAGAAAGTGAAAAGCTGACACTGAGCAATAAAAACTGCATCACATGAACACTAGCCTGCATTAGCAATGATAGCACACTGGAGGTGTTGAGCGAGAAGAGAATTTAAACACTCCTGAAAAGGGGTAGAAATAATTATTATTTCTAGCCCTTGGCAATGTTTTTATTTGGAGGTTAAGACATCCCTTCATTCCGGAGAGTCTTCTATTGTTTCAAAAGTGCAGATGATCTCTAAAGATGAGGGGCCAATGCTCTCCAGCAGTGGCCAGACCCCAGCCATGGGTCATTGCCAGGCCATAGAGCTTAACCTCCACAGCCTGGATTTCCTGTCCTGATTCACCTCCCAAAGAGGCCAAGTTCACAACCCTTCTCACCCCATCACTACCCACAGCGCCACCAACTCCCCCCCTTCCTTGGATCTCCTTTTCTCTCTTTTCCATTCTACTTACCACTTTTTTACATAATTCACAGTTTTTTTTGTGTTTGATATGCACTATTCATCATCTGTTTCCCTTCACCACCTATAAACACCATGAAGGTAAGCATCTCTATCTGCTCATCAAGAACAGGATCTCTCAGCGTCAGCACCATTGACATTTTGGGCTGGCTAAATCCTTGCTGTGCATTGTAGGATGTTTAACAACATCCTTAGCCTCAACCCACTAGATGCCAATAGCAATCTTCTCCCAAGTCATGAAAACCTAAAATGTCAAGACCTTGCAAATATTCCCAGGGGACAGCATGACCACTGAGCTAGGGTAATGTCTGAAGCATAAAGAAAGCTCAGTAATATGTGCTTAATAAATTAACAACTGGTGAACTAATGAATGATAGCAAAGGTAGGCTTTTTATGTGGCTGCGTGAGCTGGAGGAAAGAAACACCCAGGGAGTCCTGAGTTCTAGTCCCAATCCTGTTTCTCATTAGCTATGTGGCCACAACTTCTCTGGGCTACAGTTTTCCTGCCTATGACATTCAGTCATTCTACAAACACTTCTTGAGCACATATTATATATCCAAACTCTGCTCTAGATGCTAAGGATATACAGTAAATGGGTAACAAAGTTCCTGATTGTATGAAACATGTATGGTACCAGCAATAACAACAGGAAATAATAATAAATAGAAAGGATAATCTGAAGCAGAAAATACTCTGTAGATCATAAACCAGGTAGATAATGTGTCAGATATGAGCAGGGGGCGTGCTATTTTAGATAAATGATCAGAGAAGACCTCTCTGTGGAGGTGATATTTAAGCAGCAACCTACTTTAAAAGCAGCTTTTCATTCAGAAATGAAAAGCCAGTTGTGCAAAGATGTAGGGGAAAGAGTGTTCCCAGCAGAGGAAACAGCAAATACAAAGACCCTGAAAGCAGGAGTCCCTTTGTATTTCCGAGGGCAATGGGAAGTCACTGGAGGGCTTTAGGTAGGGAAAGACATGCTCTGATTTGATTTTCAAAAGATCAGACTAGTGCCATGTGAAGAACAGATTATGCAGGAAGGCAAGAATAGCAATGGAGACCAGTTAGAAAGTAGGGGCAACCAAGAGGCAAGGAGAGTGAATGGTTTGGAACACAGCTTAGGCCAAGGGTGGCATAGGACTGGAAAAAATAAGTATCACAGAGTCTTTGTGAGAAGAACCAAGATAAGACTTGTGAAGGAGTTTTGAAATGTTAGAAAAGAGCCCTCAAGTCTCCCCTCCAAAAAATTTTGTGCAGTCTGGGCACAATGAAGAAAAGTGATCATACTGTCGAAGAACAAAAGGTCTGGAAGAGGCCTGGAAACTCAGCCCCACTATTTTGGGAGCTCTGGTGGTGTAGTCCCTAAGGCACTTGATTGGTAACCAGAAGGCTGGTGATTCAAACCCACCAGCCACTCCTCGGAAGGAAGGTTGGGCAATCTCGTTCCGAAGAGATACCACCTATGAGTCAGATCTGATTCAACGTTAGTGAGTTTGGCTTTTTTGGTCTTATTTTCCTTGGTGGTGCAAACAGTTAAGTGCTTGGCTGAGAAGCAAAAGATGGGTTGCTCCAATCCACTGGGAGTCACCTTGGAAGAAAGGCCTGGCAAACGACTTCCAGAAATTCACAGCCATTAGCATAGTGGCTAAAAGCACTTGACTGCTAACCAGAAGGCTGGTGGTTCAAACCCACCAGCCACTCCTCGGAAGGAAGGTTGGGTGATCCTACTTCCGTAGTGATACTGCCTCGGAAACCCAAGGAGGGGTCGCTATGAGTCAGGGCCGACTCGACGGCACATAACAACAACAACAAAAACCATGAAGCATGAGTCTACTCTGAACACATAAGGTCAACATGAGTTAGAATTGACTCGAAGGCAACTGGTTTGATTTAGGTTTGTTTTGCTTATATTACTGAAGGAAAACTGAAATTTAGGAGACAAAGTGACAAAAACAGGACCAGTTTAGTTAGCAACATTCAATAGATCTAAAAAGCCAAACTCACTGCCATCAAGTGGAACCTGGATCATAGCAACTCCTCCTTGGGTTTCCGAGGCAATGGAAGTAGACTGCCCAACCTGCCTTCTGAGGAGTGGCTGGTGGGTTTGAACTGCCAGCCTTCCGGTTAGCAGTCAAACGTTTTAGGCACTATGCTACCAGAGCTCCTATTCAATAGATCGAGAGCTCCTTATTTGAAAGAAATCAACCAAAAAAAAAAAAATCACTGCCATCAAGTCAGATCCGACTCATAGCGACCCCTCCTTGGGTTTCCCAGACCGTATCACCACGGAAGTACATTGCACAACCTTCCTTCGGAGGAGTGGTGCCTAAGGCATTTGACTGCTAATCAGAGGGCTGGTGGTTCAAACTACCAGCCACTCCTCAGAAGGAAGAGCTCAACGTGTGTCACATCTTAAAGGTCCTAAGTAAAAGATTAACAGAGACATGATTTCCCTGTACAATCAAAAACTGGGAAATAAAAGTCTAAAATAGAGGAAAACTAGGATCTCAGGGCATCTTCTTAGCACGTCTTTGGCTGATTTCCCTAACTGACATTTCTTTTATAGCACATGACATGAAATCATTGAAGTCTTCACATTGAATACAAAGAGCTCATAAAAAAAAGTGCTGGCGTATTAGAGAACCCCCAGAATACACATATGGAGCCAACTACAGGAACATTTAGGTCAGCCTATTAAGTGCATTTTTCATTTTCTTTCCACGACATCAATCCACACATAATGTTTATGATCCTAATCAAAACAATCTGAGAGAGCCACTGAGAAAATCTGGTGTGGCACACACATGGTCTTCACAGAGATTCGGTGTCCCAGGCTATATTTAAGGCAAAAAGTAAAAGGTCTGCATCAGTTCAACTAAATTGTCAAAGCTACGTGTATCACTCAGTGTGTCTTTGGTGCGCATGCTTCTGGAATCAGGCCTTCCTCAAAGGAACAAGCCACAGTGCATCTTCCCTCCCATTTCTCAGATGCTCACTGGCCACATACCTTGTCTGGGAGTCAGTCTAGCAA